CTTGACGATAACCTGGGATCAGTGAATTCACGTTGTTCTGTATAGGGGATGTTGTTGCGGGAAACTTTGCGCAGTAGTTTTTGACTTAAAACCTCTGCAGAACTTTTCAGACAGTCATAGAGCTGGAAAGAACTCCTACGCAGAACATCCTTCTGCTCTCTGCTTGCACTACACACAGCGTGGCATCACCGTGCTCTGGTTGTCATTAAAAATAGACCTCTGCCCTTATGAAACCATTGCCCTGTAGCATCCTGATCTATTTTGTACTCCACAGTCCTCCCTTAGGGCCTTCTAGGAGGAAAAGCACTCCCCTTACTGTTATGGTTAAGGGGAATGGGGAGGGGTGGGGAGTTTTTCCTGCGTCTTTTTGTTAACTTAAGAAAAACATCAAAAAGGAGAGACGGCACAATATGAGGCAAAAACCGATACAAGGGACCATCAAGCAGCTGACTCTCAGGAGGTAATTGTGCAACTGCTCTTTGTTTGGTTCTTTAAAGCCTTTGCTGGTTAAAAATAAAAAAAAAATAAAAAAAAAAAACAGGAGAATTTAAGTTTATTCATTTCTTCTTTTCAGCTCATAACTTTTTTTTCCTTCTTTTAAGTGACTTGTATAAGCATTTCTTAAAGAAATAGGCTCCCATCATTGTAAAAAATGTTTTTTTTATATATATATATATATATATATATATATAAATGTATTGTTATATATTTTTGATGAACAAGAGTTACTGTGGTTTTGACACCATGGGGTCTCGACTGGCATGAGCCCTTAAAAATGTGCCTATCAAATACTCTCCAATACAAGTTTTATTCGCTTATATTTATGCCCAATTCGTGAGTTTACAGAGTTTTATTGTAAAAAAAAAAATATGGCAAACCAAATTGATATTTGACAATAAAATTAGTTAAAAAAAATGTTTTTCATGCATTCAGGCTTAGTAAAAAGATGATCAAATCTTTTGTTGAAAGTCAAAAAATGTTTTGCACTGATAAAAATGGAACTTAATTGATTTTCACTTCTTCCAGAAATGTTAAAATGCAGATTAGATTGGTGTACTGAGTTGCCCAATAAAAAAAAAATACAGCTTGAGAAGATCAGCGGGTACAAACTGGATGTAATAAGTTACCTAGAAATGGTAAAATCCCAGATAGTTGCCTCATTCAGACACAGGAGCAGTTTGTCATTTCGGCTGGGGAACAAATGTGCATAAAGCGAGTATTAGAGCAACATGTCATTGTCATCAGTATAATCCTACAATCACACCAACTCCTCATGTCTTTATCCATCAGTTCCACGAGCTAAATCAAACAACTCCTTGTTTCGTTTAGTCCTAATAATAATATACTAACCAGTATTTTCTTTTCTTTTTTACCCAAAGTGGAATTTCGCACCTTCTCAAAAACCCAGGGTTTTATAGATTTAGCTCAACTTGTTAAAGTAATTGATAAATCATGAGTGTCTATTACAGTCAATAGACACTGTATGTCACCTCAGTTTTTAATGCTGCTGTGATAACTGAGGGCTTTAAGAGTTTCCACTTAACTTTTTAGAAACTACAAAATTATTTTTCTAAAAGATCCATATTCAGTCAAAGAACATAATTAGAAAAAACAAAGAAAGGTTAGGGTTGCTAACTTCAATGTGCATTTGTGTGTCAACTTGCAAGGCAGCAGTGTCACAGAGCAGCTATAGAAATTGTGTTTCTGCCTCCGTGGCTGGACTATAATTTAGCCGGAAGCTTGATTAGGTGTCAGCCTGTCACTCAAACATTCGCGCGCACTCCTGTGTGCTCTTGTCATGCAAACGAATATGAATTGATGGGATGATTGATGCAGATTATCCGGGCGTATTGTTCGCTTGAAAGCGCAAAAAGGTTTAGCATGAAGTTTGTGTCCGTATGGCACGGCAGAATGCTTTCAGTGGCAAAGCTTTTACGGAAAATGTGTAGCGCAGACGAGCAAGAGAAGCAGGAACTCAACAAAGCGCGTGTGGAATTTGTGAGTTATGTTAAGAAGTAACAGAGTCGGAGTAAAAGCACACCTGGAGGCCAAGTGTGGATTATCCCGCCCACCCCACTGGCGTCCCGGGTAGGAAAACTCCAAAGTCATCGTTATAGCTAAGGGTGAAGGGGATCATTAAGTCATTATTTATGTGCTCGCTGCTGTTTTATCACCTCCAGACGCAGTCTCGCAACACAGACACCCACACTCGCAGCCCCAGAAGAATAACCTAATTGTTCGGTTTGGCCCAAGGGCTGGTGTCTAACAGAAAAAGTGCAGACATTAACAGTCTTGGGCAGCTGCAGAAAACATAACCCACCTTATATTTTTTGTTCCAACCTCCTCACTTCCCTTCCTCATTGGGCTTGTTTGCACCTTATTTGGGTTTATTTACACTGTGCTCCCAAGAACCCCCCACACTTGCTGTGGCTTGAGGTATGCAGTAGCAGAGGAAAGAAAGTTTTTACAGGCAATATCCCCTTTCGAATAGTTTGCTGGATGAGCTCAGTTGAAAGCATGCCGCTAACAGAGCACTTTGTGCCTCCGCTCAATCAATTTCCCCGTCTTCCTGTGCAACTTTTTCTTTTCTTTTTTTTCCTGTAACCCGTAAAAAGCATGTTGAGCTTTGTGGGAAACTTGAGCAAGTTGGTTTATTTCACACTGAGCATGTTTTTTTCCGGGGGGTTGGGGACTGCAGAGTGAACCTGAATCATTTTTCGCCTGTTCTTTCATGATATTACCCAGTTGCGGATGATTACAGTCACATTTTAAAGAAAACCGAAAGACTGTCTGGAAACGGAGACACTTAAGTCTTAAAAAGAAAAGTAGACGAGGCATCGGATTGGATTTTAAACAGACCCACTTTGTGTCGCACCTGGAGCTGTGGCTCTTGTGAAAGGCCACTCAGAGTCGGCCCTCTGGACGCTGCAGTCTCAGATGCTTGCGGCGCCGCTGTTTCCCCCCGGTGTTTCCTTTCATTTTACTTTGAAGGTGTCAAGGGGTGTTGCTTTTCCAGCTGCGCCCAGCTATTTCACCTCAAGTCTGTCCTGCTGTTATTTTCATGTCCTGATTCAATTACATCTCTAGGACCGGTCCACCGACACATGACATGAGCACACCGGGGCTACAGAAATGTGAAGAAATTGTCTTTTTTTTTGGCATGTGGGTTGTTATATATATATATATATATATATGGGAATGCCATGGGGTTTCCTTCACAGCCAAGCCACACTTCAACTCCATTCCAACTTCTTTAACTCCAAGGGCTTTTTGAAGTTCTATTAGGCTTGTCTTTCTTTTCCTCTAAAATCCACGTTTTGGTAATCCTCTCCACTGTCCTCCTTACTCATCGCTCCTTTTGTTCCTACCTGACCTGTTTAACACCCCCTCTCCTCTTGAGTACAACCTGCTCCAGTCTCCCGACCACTGCTCACCTTCACCTCATCCAACCTCCACCCATCTTGATCCCTTTCATATTTTCCTCCTCTATTATTTTCATTCTTTCCAGCCCCTCTCCTTCAATCTGCTTTAAGTGACCCTAAACTTGACTTTCTCGCTCCACCTTTCTGAGTCAGTCTCCTTTGAAGAGCAGCTCCGGGTGAGGACGTTCATTCTCTGAGTTTCAGCCTTGCAGCTCAGTGCCTTCAATAAATTACAGGCAGACTGACGTACACAGAAATTCATTTATCATTATAGACATTTACACATTTGCTTCTACCCCTAAGCTGAAAGGAAAGCTGTGTTTGGTGAGTTTGATGGATGCAGGCATCCAGGAAAACTCACAAAAGCATTCAGCTGAAAACTCATAAGCAGTTATACATCATTGTCATGGATGTGTGCACTTAAATCATTCTCCCTTTTTTTCAATCGACTCCAATAGGTCAATCTAAACTTGTTGAATCTTGGCAGAAAGGACTTTGGTTTTCTTACAAGAGGCTTAAAATCAGGGGAAAAAAACTCTTCGGTAGTATTTTACTACACATGTAACATGCATTTCAAAAGTATACATGAGCATGTTGGAGCTTATATGTATCCATGTTTTCAGTTAGCCCAATACATTAAACGTGTAATGTTAAGAGAACAGAGAATCTCCAGTATTCTTACATTTTTAAATAGAAAATGTAACATTCTCAAATGAAATACTAAAAACTCTTCATACAAATTCAAAACTAAAAATGGAGCCATGCTCATGATAGAAGTGGGTCAGGTATACACACTGACAAAAAAAAGGGGGGAGATCACCAGTAAACGGAGACAAGTGGGTCAGGTAGACGGCCGTGCAGACGTGAATATATTTCAAGCAATAGACTGGAGGTGAAACAATCACTCACACATACATCCACACAAGCACACGCAACACATTTAGAGACATCTGTTTTGGGCCTACCATAAAACCCAGATGGACCCCAAGGGGTGGTGTGTCAACAACAGTGGAGACCACACATTAATGCTCGGTGTGCTCCTGAGACTGATTCCTTGGGATTTAGTTCAGTGAGGGGGTATTAACCAAGACCACAACCTGTAATTGCTATCATAATTACACAGGAAGGACTTTCTGAATTAATATATGCCGTAATTCGGGGGAAATTTCATTCAGTCTTAAGAGCTCAATGTCTTGTTAGCCTCTTGAGTGTTGTTAGCGCATGTCTGCGTCTCTGTACGGTCACCCAATGAATATGCATTGTGAGGGGGTAAGCTTACTTTTTTTTTTTCATCTCGGCTGAACCCAAACACAGAATATGAATTAGTTTATTAGAGTTAAAAGTGGTGAGATCTGGCTTTGATGTTGAGCCATCAAAGGTATCACGAAACCACAGTTCAGAGGAGCAGTGTTGCACTGTAAAATATATTTAGCTGTGAGCCGAAATTAGACCCGTCATCGCTACGGACACATGCCTGGCCTTCTTGTGTCTACCTTAATCTGTGGAGCTGGAAAGTTGATTTTGATATATTGTTGTTTCTGTACTCTGAAATTAACTGTGCACGTAAAAAAAAAAACCCCCAAAAAAAACAAAAACAAAAAGAAAGTACACTTAAACAGTCCAAAGTTTTGCTTAGTAATTTGTAATAGGGGGGAAAAAAATAAAAAAAATTACTGAGAGAAGAAATAGGAATGATTGCTCGGGTATGATTTTATACCCATTCAACCACACAAACAATTAAACTTTGATAGGTTCTATGCTCATTTTCCCCAGTGATATGTTTGAATTGTGTTCTACAGTAAGTTTATGTAAGTTTATACGTGCAAAGCTTCTGGCTCAACTTGCATAAAAGCCTCAAGCTTTGAAGACTCGGAGGATTGATACCCGCCCAAATGTGGGATACTTGCAATCAAGAAATTTTGCATTCAATTTGTAGTTCTAAACCACACACCTACAGTTTTGCTCTAGATTTCCGACACATATGTCCCTGTAACAATCAGAGACCATCTGCTTGTTAAAGTGTTTGATCACTCAGCTG